AGGAAACAACAAGAGAGGAAGAAAGGAACGAAGGCACCACAAAACAATCACAAGGCAATGAACAAAATGTCAATAGTAAGTCTTTATCAATAATTACTCGAAATGTAAATAGTTTAAATTTTCCAATTAAAAAACTTAGAATGACTGAATGAATTAAAAAACAAGACCCAACTATATGCTGTCTGCAAGGGACTCATTTAAGCTTTACGGACACTAGTAGGCTAAAAATGAAGGAATAGAAAAAGACACTCTGCAAATGGAAATCAAAGGGAGAGATAGCCATACTTACAACACACAAAATAGACTTTAAGTCAAAAACTATAACAAGAGACAAGGTCATTATATAATGATAAATGGGTCAATTCATCAAGAGGACATAATAATTATAAACATATGAATCCAATATTAGAGCAACTAAATCTATTAAACAGTTATTAATAGATGAGAAGGGAGAAATAGCAATGCATTTATAGAAGTGACTTCAGTACCCCACTTTGAACAGTGGATGGATAATCCAGACAGAAAATTAATTAGATAATAATGGACTTGAATGATGCTTTAGACCAAATGAACCTAACAGATATATACAGAAAATTCCATCAATAGCAGCAGAATACATATTCTTCTCAAGTGCACAGGGAATGTTCTCCAGGACAGATCATATGTTATATCTTTTCTGACCATAGCGGTATGAAACTAGAAATCAGGAGTAAAGCTGAAAAATTAAATACACTTTTGAACAACCAATGGGTCAAAGAAAAAAAAGAAATAAAAAGATATCTTGAAAAAAAATGAAAAGGGAAGTACAACATGCCAAAACTTATGAGATGAAGCAGTAGCAGTTCTAAGATGAAATTTTATAGCAATGAACACCTGCATTAAGAAAAAAGATAACAAATAAACTGCCTAACTATATTTCTAGAAACCAGAAAAGAACCAACTAAGCCCATAGTTAACAGAAGGAAGGAAATAGTAAAGATTAGAGCAGAAATAAAAGAAATAGAGACTAGAAAGACAAATAGAAAAGATCAACAAAACTAAGTGTTGGTTTTTTGAAAAGATTAACAAAATTGATAGACTTTCAGCTAGACTAAAAAAAAAAGACTCAAATTAATAAAATATAAATGAAAGAGGACATATTACAACTGATAACACAGAAGTACTCTCAAAAATTGAAGAAGGAATACTTCTAAACTCATTTTATAGAGCCAGCATTATCCTGATACCAAAGCCAAGAAGAGAAAATTATAGGCCACTATCCTTGATGAACATACTTGCAAAAATTCTCAGCAAAATACTAGCAAACAGTTCAAAAGCAAAGGATGATACACCATGACCAAATAGGATTCATCTCTGGGATGCAAGGCTGTTTCAACATCCACAAATTAAAATGTGATACACTATGTTAACAGAATGAAGGATAAAAATTATGTGATCATCTCAACAGATGCAGAAAAAGCATTTGACACAATTCAGCATCTTTTCATGATAAAAACTCTAAGTATAGAAGGAACATTCTTTATCATAACAAAGACCATAAATAATCATACTCAATGACAGAAAGAAGTCTTCTAAGATCAGGAACAAGACCAGGATGCCCACTCTTGCTATTTCTATTTAACATAGTACTGGGTATCCTAGCTATAGCAGTTAGTCTAGAAAAGGAAATAAAAGGCATCCAACTCAAAAAGGAAGAAGTAAATTATCTCTTTGCATATGATGTGATCTTATAGAAAACCTTAAAGTCTTCACCAAAAACTGTTAGAATATGCACGAATTCAGTAAAGTTTCAGGATTCAAAATCAATATACAAAAATCAATTGTGTTTCTGTACACCAACAGAGAACTATTTGAAAGAGATATTAAGCAAACAATCCCATTTACAATAGCATTAAAAAACAATAAAATACTTAGGGATGAATTTTACCAAGAAATCGAAAGACCTGTACACTGAAAACTATCAGACAGTGAAGAAAGAGATTGAAGAGTATGCAAATAAATGGAAAGGTATCACATGTTCTCTGATTAAAAGAATTAATAATGTGAAAATGTCTATACTACCCAAAATGATCTCCAGATTCAATGCAATCTCTATCAAAATTCCAATGACTTTTTTCACAGGAATGTAAAAAAACTTATAAAATTTGTATGGAGCCGCAAAAGACTCCAAATAACCAAAGCAATACTGAGAAAGAACAAAGCCAGAATCATCACAGTTCTTGATTTTAAACTATTACAAAGCTATAGTAATCAAAACAGTGTGGTACTCAAATAAAGCAGGCACATAGATCATGGAACAGAGTTGAGAGCGCATACATAAACCTATACATACATGGTCAACTAATTTTTGATAAAGGCATCACAAACAATTGAGAAAGAGCAGTCTTTTTGATAAATGGTTTTTGGAAAACTAAATATCTATATGCAAAAGAATGAAACCGCACCTCTATCTTACACCACTCAAAAAATTAACTCGAAATGGATCAAACCCTTAAATATGACCTGAAACTGTAAAACTCCTTGAAGACAACTTTGGGGGAAAAGATCCTTCACATTGGTCTTGGCAGTGATTTCTTGAATAAGGCATCAAAAGCACAGGCAATAGAAGCTAAAATAAAAGTGGGACTACATCGAACTAAAGACATTCTGCACAACAAAGGAAACAATACAATATTTGCAAACTATATGTCTGATAAGTGGTTGATATTCAAAATATTCAAAGAACTCATAAAGCTGAGTAGTACAAAAGCAAATAATCCAATTTAAAAATGGGCAGAGGCCCTGAATAGACATTTTCCCAAAGTGTACAAACGGCCAGTAGGTGTCTGAAATACAGGTGTCAGGGAAATACAAATCAAAACCACGATGTGATATCACTTCACACCTATTAGAATGATTATTGTGAGAAAGACTAGAGGTAAATATTGGCAACGATGTGGAGAAAATGGAACCCTCATACACTATTGGTGGGAATGTAAAATGGTACAGTTAATATGGAAAACAGTATTTAGGTTCCTCAAAAAATTAAAAATAGACCTTCCATATGGTCTACCGGTCATACTCCTGGATATATATCCAAAAAGAATTGAAATTATCATCTCAGAGATCTGCACAGCCATGTTTACTGCAGCATTATTCACAGTAGCAGAGATTTGAAAACTATCTAAATATTCTACAATGGATGAGTGGATGAAGGAGAAGTGATTATATCCGTATATCTGTATGTGAGATAGATATATCTATCATATGTATGAGATAGATATATAAATATTATTCAGCCAATATAAAAAGGAATTCCTGCTATTTGCAATAATGTGGATGAATCTGGAGGACGTTATGCTAAGTAAAATATGACAGAGAAAGACAAATATTGTATGGTATTACTTATATGTGGAACCTTTAAAAACATCTGATATTATAGAAACAATAGAATGTTGGATGGCAGGGGCTGCAAGAGTGGTAATGGGGTGATGAGGCTGAAAGGTACAAATTTTCAGTTTTAAGATTAAATTGTGAGGATCTAAAGTACAGTGCAGTGACGATAGTTAATAACATAGTATTGTATACCTGAAAGTTTCTGAGAGTAAATCTTAAGCATTCTTAACACACACACACACACACACACACACAGACACACAGTGTTGACTATGTGAGTTGGTAGATGTGTTAATTATCTTCATCTTGATAATCATATTACAGTTTATATATCAACTATCACGTTATACACTTTAAATAATTATACAATTCTGTTTGTCAGTTATTCCTTAGTAGTTAAAGAATAAAAAAGTTTAGGAAAGTATCCTTTTAAAATAGTCTATATTTTGTTTTAAAGTACTCAGTTACTTACAGGAGTACTCTTAAAGTACTTTTCTACTCTTCTTTCCTTGTCTTGCCCACATCTGTGGTCCTCATGTCCTCCTGTTCCCTGAGTTTTTCTCTAATTCATATTCATTCTTCATTCTCATTACTGACAGTTATTGTCTTTTTCTCTATTAATTGGTCTTCCACATATATGCTCCCTCTCTCATACCTGCCAGAGTGATTTTTTGAAAAAATGTAAGTCGAATTAATTTATTCTCCCCTTGAAAATCCTCAGTGCTTATCTTTCATAGGTTAAAATTCTAAACTTCTTGGCCTTTTGTACCCTTCATTTTCTCATTTTTATTTGCCTCTTTTAATACTTTCCCAAGCATACAAGTTAAATCATGCTTTATCTTATTATTTTTTGATGATGTCATCTAAATTCTTTATTTTAGCATTATTATTTCCTTTCTTTAAAAGTCACACTCACTCATCCTTACGTTTTACCTAGAAAGCTGTTTTCTTCAAGATACTACTTAATTATTACCTGTTTTGTGAAGTGATCACTGATGACCCTTTGTCCTCAAGCAGTTTGTAGTTATTCCATCCCTTGCTTTCCCATAGCATTTTTAAGTATATGCCTTCATCAGTATATATCTTTTGTATCTTATACATAATGATATTATATCAAAAGATAATATAATTACTTGTTAACTCTTTTCTGCTCTTTAACTTCATGTGCTCCCTGAGGGCAAGGATTATATTAATACATCTTTTAAAAAATTCCCAGCACGCAACACAATACATGGCACATGGTAGTCATTGAAACAAATGGCAAGTGAATTGTAAAGGGATGAAATGATTTATTGAAATTTATACAGATAGAAAACAAGATGGTTTCACTCAGGCTATTGCAATAATAGACATTGATTTTTTTTTACATTATTAATTTTTAAAAACAAACAGTAAAAAAACTCATTCATTTTTGCAGTGCTTTTCCGAATTTTAAAGCACTTTCACTTCATCTCTTAGGTTTTTCAACACCTTGGACAACCTTAGAGACATTTTTAATAAGAAATTTTATTTAATTTTTCTTTGGTGATTGAAATATTTACATATATAACATTCTGCCTTTGGATGTGCATGTTGAAGAATGCTTACCTCTGACCTACTTACTTATAGCACATTTTGTATCACAGTGGATGACGTAGTAGATGAAAGTGATGACAACGATGATATTGATTTAGAAGCTGAAAATGAAACTGAAAATGAAGATGACCTAGATCAAAATTTTAAGGTTAGTATCAATTTCTGTCTTTAGTCACCTTTACAGATTGCATACTCAGTTGTAAAAGAAAGATTGAGTAAATACATATAGCTAATGGTAGATTAATTTTTTTGCCCACATGTTTTTTATCATGGCTGATTATAGACAGTAAGCTACTGAAAGAGAAAATAATGTTTCTTTGAATGAATTGCTCTGAAAAGGGCCTTAAAATAACTTATTTTAACTCTCTCTGACCAGGAAGATTTTATCTAACCTTTCTGACTTAGATTTTAAAGTCTAAAGAAATCTAAGTTTGAAGTGAAGTGTTTTGAGAATTGAAGTGGCAACCTATTTCTCTTTCAACAATCTTTTGTGGATACAAAATAGTAGGAAAGTAATCTATAACTGATGGCTTCTTGGTAAGAATTAGTGTTTACATAATGCTTCTTAAGTTTTAGTTGAAGAAGGAAATGGACAAAAGTGTTTATTGAATTGAGAAAAGAAAAAATTATTATTACATGAGATGTTAAGTAAAGAGGCAGGTGAGTTTTCAGAATTTTATGGCACTTTTACAAGTCTAGATGCTTTATATTTTGCTTTATTTAGTGGTAGAAGGGGCCATATTAGCAGAAAATGTAGAAAAATGTCTGCTTAATGCCTTCATTTTTCAATGCTTTTCTGGGGGAGGGGGATTCATTAGACTCTTACCTGCTTGGCCCTTTTTGTCTTGAAATGCTACATCACAATTGGGATATACTGAGTATTTGACTTTCTGGAGATAGATTCTAAGATACTGGAAAGAGATTTCTATCTTAATAGCAGATACACAGCCAGTTTTATTATCACCAAATATGACCAACACAAACTTTGGCAAAATTGTCAAGTTAGCCAGTCTGGTAACATGATGGTCTGCATACTGGACTCAAGAAGCTACAAAGAAGAAAAACAGTGCTGGTTCTCTTTGTCAAGGCAAAAAAATAAAAATAAAAAAATGAGGTAACTATGTGTTTATGGTTATGGACTTGATGTAAGTGAAAATATCCAAGGATCCAAGCTCAGGAAATTTAAATTCTGTATGTAAAATCTTTCTTGGATGACAGGAGCTATGTTAAAATCAGTTGTTTGGGTTCTTTGGGAAGTGAGTGTTTAGGGGTGGTAAAATTTCCCAGATTAATGCATAAATGCATGCTTAAAATTTTTTAAAAAATCATTTGAGGGTAAGTTACATAAATATCATGGTCCTTTGCCCCTAAATATGTCTGTATATGTTTCCTAAAACTAGTGATACTCTCTTACATAACCACAGTACAGTTACCACCTTCATAAATGTATAGCGATATAACACTATCCATGTTCCATTTTGTCAGTTATTCTAATTATGTCCTCTATTATATTTTCCCATTCTCTAGTATAGAATCTAGCATCAGGTATTGCATTTAATTATTTTGTCTTTTAAGTCTTCTTTAATTTAGAACATCACAGATTTCTTTGTCTTTTATGACATTCACTCTTTGACTAATCCAGTGGTTGACACCATTATTCCCTGGAGTATCCATGACTGCTCACCTTTCCTCATGTTACTTTAACACAGCAGTTATAAGAAAAGTAATTGATTGAATTTATTGAATGCTTAATCCTATGCTAGCCCATGCTCTTTACATATAGTAACCATTAAATCCTCATAGAAATCCTATGAGGTATATGGTATTATTACCTTTGCTTTAGAGGGCTAATTAGAAAACAAGGCACTGAAAGGTTATCAGTATAGCTTATAAGAGGTGGGACCAGGATTCAGAATAAAGCAGTCTCATGTGAATGTTCTCTCTCTTTTCCACTATTTTATAAAATATTTTTCTTTGAGGGCTACAGAATTGTTGGCTCCTTCAGATTACTGAGTTGTATTATCTTATTTTTCTTCTTTACCACTGCCTGCCTTTCCTCTCATTGGCTGTTATATTTGGACATTCCTTATTTTTTCCTTTTTACCTAAATTCCACCACTTCTTTTATGCTTCAGGTTAACCTGCTACTTGTAGTGGGTATAATATTTGTGTTCTGTTGTGGTTCGAGTTCTAGAGACTCTTTTTTCCTCACCACTGTGATTCCATTCTCTTTGCCTCAAATTTTTCAGTTTGGAACATTTATAGAAACCTGGAGGTTCTAGAAGACTTGTCTCCGGATAACCAGGATTTGTCAATATATAAACTTTAGTGCATTATTTTTTCCCTCAACTTCAGAAGAGCTTTAAGGAGTGGTAGAAGGTTGTTTTGTTTATTTCTTCTGTGTCCGTCAGTAGCTCTTCATCTTTTTCGCTAGACCAAAACACAAAATTTCCTATTATTGACCTCTTAAAGTATAGTTTTCTTTTCTCATTATGCCCATTTTATAGGTAATTTTTTTTTTAAAGCAGAGAGTCACTATGTAAGGCTGTATTTTTACAAAATAATATTGAATATTGAGCTAGTATGGCTAGAGAAAATAATGTGTCTGTAAAAAATTTTGTAAATTTTGAAAGCATTGTCTATTAGACACTGATCAAGAAAATTATATTTTTGATTCATCAGTGCATAATTTAAGATAAATTACATATTCATGTAATAATTATACAATAACGATATAATAATTAACATGATACTCATTCAGTAAACCAGTTTTTATTATTTATGGCAATGGGAAAATTTTTATTGGTTATACAAATAATAGCTATATTCCTGAAAATGAAATGTGAGAAATACATAATATATTTTTTCTTTTAAATTACTTATTAATATGAAAATGTATAAATATAGTCAGATACATGTATATAAAGCATTTTAAGGATTGAAGCATAGTAGAATAAATTTAAGGCCAAAAAATAAGTAGTTGACTCTGGTGGTAAGATAAATGCAAAACTAAAAATGAATATCAATTGCAAGTTAATAAGTGGTCTTATTATCCTCTTTAGCCATCAGTGAAGGTAGTGATGAATTTGCATTTGTGTAAAGCCAGAGTTGTTGAGGGTCCTAGAGAATAGCTTGGATGATCAGTAAACTGACACTCATCCTCCCATCATGGTGTATGTTAACTCTTTGAACAGATACAGACCAAATGAATTCTGGATGCATACCGTGTTTCTCTGAGGTCATACTTCTCCTTTAAATTTACCTTCTTCTTTCCCAAAGGGGCATAGAAGTCATTTCTGGCTGTTGTTCCACTTCTACTTTTCTTTCCCCTGAAAAACATAGGGGATGGTGACATTGAGCTTTTCTAAGGATACTTTGTTGACCATGTAATTAATATAAGAGTGCATGACAATCATTAGTCTCTCTTGAGGCAGAGCATTTATGTTGACCCACATTGCATGCTCTGAAATCACTGACTAGTTTTACATCCTGGCTCCTCTCTTTGTCAGCTGTGTAATTTTGAGTAAGACACTTAACCTCTCTGTACCTCAGTTTCCTCTTCAGTTAAATGGAGGTAATGATACTATCTACTTCATAATGTTCTTATATAGGTGAAATTAGATAATACATGTAAAATCCTTAGCATAGTGCTTCACATATTTTCAGTGCTCAATAAATGTTAGTTATTTTGATTATCACCACTACCATCGTATATGTATGTTTTAGCTTTCTTAAATTTTAAGCTGCCCTTTAATTATGATCAAAATGATGGCAATTAGAGAGATTGGGGGAAGCATACTTTAGTCTTGATCTTGACACTAGTGTTTCTATTTTGAGGAGCCTAAACACCATGTTATATTAGAATAACATTTGACAAAAACAAAGCACAGCAAAACAACCAAAACAGCGAGGCAACAACAACCCCAAAATACAAGCAAATTTTAATTTACAGTAATATTAATATAGCTTTTATTCAATGATTATTCTCTAATTACATGTAATTAATAATTTGGAAAACTTTAAATCTAAAATGTAGCTGTAGTTTTATGTTTTTCTTAACTGGTGACATGCCATTTTTATTATTTCAGAATGACGACATTGAAACAGATATTAACAAACTAAAACCCCAGCAAGAACCAGGACGAACGATAGAAGAACTTAAAATGTATGAACACCTTTTCCCTGAGCTTGTTGATGATTTTCAGGTATAAATATAGAAAATTCAGCATCTTCACTGATTTTAAGAAAAAGTTATTTTTTTAATCTCTTAGTACTATAATAACTTTTAATTCTGCTTTTCATTTCTAAAAAATGAAAGTAGTATTGCTTTTCTGAATGACGTTGGACATTTACTTCCACATTCTGTAAAATGAGGGGACTAGCTCGTTTAATTTTTAGACTAGCTTTTTAATTTTTTCGTCACTTTGTTTTATTATTTTGACAGCTTTTTACTCTTTTAAAAATAATCTTTAAAATAGCATTTCAAAATCTTATTTTAAAGCCTTCTTTGTATAAGTTGCATTCAGCTAAGGGGAGATGAGAGCTAAGGAACCGCGGTATTAAAAATATAGTCTGTGCATGTTGAGTAATTTTTTCCTGATAGTTACTATATAAATCATGGAATGTAGGGAAGAGAGGACAACTTGAAGTCTTTAAATCTTAAGTTGGTTCATAGAGAGAGTGATTTCTTGTTAACATCTTACCCTCATTTATTTACTGGAGTTCAGACTGTATTACACAGCAAGTAAAGCTGATTAAATTGATGGCAATTAGTAGATCTAGTTTCTTATTCTCACTGAGCTGCTCACTTGTGGTGGGTCCTTGAATTTCAAGTCCCTGCAACTGCCCAGGACTTGAAATAAAGGATTTGAACCAGATAATCTCAGATTTATTTAGTTCTTGCTACTATATGAAGGTTATATGTGAGAAATAAAAGAAAAATTTGCTAGCTAATGTTTACTTTTCACAGTTCTAATTATTCAGGTTTCTCATTAGGAATTTATGAGTTTTGGCTGCAGTAGAAGCAGCAGCAAGTTGCCCTCCATTTCCCTTCCCCAGTGTCTTTATACCCCCACAGATTTGGGGTATATGGAAAGGTACTCTGAAATCAGGGGTACTAAAAAAGGGCAGAATGGAGAGAGTATTCGTTAAAAAGAGAAAAAGAAGAAGGTAGGAAGAGGCATTTGGGAAAGGATACAGGGTGATTTTCTTCCATTCAACCTACAGGAGGTATCTGGCTGCTCTTTTAACACCTTTTTGCCCAGGTAAGAACCACTTAAAAATAAAACTCCAGAGATAACAAATACTGCTAACTCATAGCAGAAAAATATTGTGGAAGGAACTTGGGGAAAGAATTGATTATTGTGTGAAGAAATCACCTGTGTTCTTCTCTATGTGCATATGAGAACTATATAATGTTTTTAAAAATTGTAGGGATAGAGCAGAGTAATTTTTTAATGAGTGTGAATGCCAGTATTTTGATTTTCATTCTTTCACAAGCCAGTTCTTCATTCTTGTGGACTATAGTGATAAGTTCTTCTTATATATTTGCCTATTATCACCCAGAGTAGGCTACCCTAGATGGCTTCCTCCCTGGTACCTATGAACTGCTGGCCAACCTGTCCTTTAATTTGGCTGCTCCTAGAGCAGGTTCCTCCTTTTGGTCAGACTTGGTGTGTCCAGGGTTAGATGGTAAGGACAGGTGTGAGTGTGAGAACTCTAAAAAGTCTTCTTCCCAAGTGAGTACTCCTTTTTATTGTATTTAAGCAAAAAAAGCTACTCAGGCATTTCAGATAGTACATATTTATTAATGTATTCTCTATTTTGCCATAAAGTTTTATGTGGAATAGTTAGCTCTATTTCTTTAGCATATGTTATGGGTAATAGCACATTGTCTTATTTACATAATTGGAAAATCATTTCTAAAGTAGTTGCGTTGGCATTGACTATCTTTCTCATTTTTAAGTTTCAGAAAAAGGCACTGTTCAAATACTTGAGTCTATTTTTCGAAGTACTGTGTTGGAACTACATATAGGCAGCAGTATTTAAGTGATGTACTTTTGAGAATTAAAAATATTAGTCGGTTCCAGGTAGGAAGTGTTCGAAAGATTTTTTTTCAGCCATCATCATGTCAGATACTGGCAGATCATGAAATATTAAACATAAATAAAATTAATTTTGGTTATGACTTTTTCTACTTGGTTTTGCATGTCATTTTCAACATCAACTAGTGAAGTTTAAAATTAGTTGATGTGTTTGAATCCTGAACACCACCCACTTTGTTGCCAGATGTATGAAGGCTATTATTCAATGGCCAGATGGAGGCAAAATGAATGCATTTAAAGGCAACATATGGAATTATTAAAATAATTATCAACATACTTTTTGAGGGAAACTTACTGTAGTGGTTTAAAAGCTATGATTATTTATTCGTAGTGACAAATTATAGTTTTATTTGCTTTTGTTTCTTCATGGCAGAATATGGGAAGTGTCAAAATTCTGCATTTTCACAGCTATTTTTTCACACATCTATGGTAGTGTGATGACATTTACCATATGGACGTTTATTATGTTTTGTTTTTCTTTCCTTCTTCCTTCTTTTAAATTTGGTTTTAAATTTTTATTAAAGTTTTGCATGGGCAGAGTTTAAAGTGTCAAAAAGTTTTACATAGTTTAATCAAGAAAACTGTAGTTCCCTTTCCATCTGCTATTTCTTACAATTACTTTTAGCATGTTTTTGAAGTTAATCCTCACATTTCTAAATGATATGCTTGATCATTTAGCATATCAGTGCCATGTCTTGATTTTTCCTGCCTTTGTTCATTCATTTTTTTCTATCTTTCTTTCTTTTTCTTTTTGGTATAATCATCTTAAGATAAGCATCCAGTACTTTTCAGCCTTTCTTCTTTTACAGTATTCATATTTTTAGGCTATAAATTTCATTCTAATTACTGTTTAGCTGCATAAGTTTAGATATTTAGTATTTTCATTATCTTGGTTTTGAAACTTTATCTCCATTATGATTTTTTCTTTGATTCCTTGATAATGTTAAAGCTGGCTTTTTAATTTCTAATTTTTCATTTATCCTTTTATTGATTTTAAGCATATTGTAGGAGGATAAGAGGACATATTTTTTAATTATTATAATCCTTTGAAATTTTTGAGGCTTATTTTATGATTTTAAATAAGGTCAACTTTCGTTACTATTTCTGTGTCCTTGGAAAGCATTTTTTGGCTGTTGTTTGGCACAGTTGTATATTCGTCTGTTAGGAAAAATTGCTAATCGTGTTGAGAACTTCTTTTCAATTTTTATGGATTTTATTCCTATACTCAGTTATTGTGAAAAGTGTGTTAAAAATTTCTCAGTATGACTGCAAACGTCTCTTGTCTTTTTGCAAGTCTGTTTTGGATTTTTTTTTTTTTGAGGCTTATTTATTGTATATAAATATAAATTGATTTCTCTTCCTTTTGAATCGAACTCTTTATTATTATGAAGGGACTGTCTTTAAGAATTTAAGGCAGAAGTGTTTTTTAAAAATATTAATGTAATTACATTAATTTTGGATATTTCCCTGATATCTCTTAAAGTTTTTTTACTTTCAACTTTTTGATATCCTAAGTTGTGTATCTTTTAAACAGCATATAATTGGATTTTAAAAACTCAAGTTTGAGTCTTTGCCATTTAACTGAGACATTTAGTTCATTTACATAACATCGTTCCTATATTTGGATTTGTCTTTATGAGATCTTATTTTGTATTTTCATTTGATTTATCTCTATATTTTTGTTCATTTTCCTTGCCTTCATCTGGACTATTTTTTTCTTGTTTCACTTTTTCACCCTTATTAATTTGAAAGGTATATAGTCCTATTATTTTTTATTTTAATCAGTTTTTTTTGAGCTAGAATTTATATACAATAAACCATTTTTATTTAAAGTGTAAGTTTGAGCATTGACATAGACACAATGATTCTAGTTACTCTTGATACTGTTACATACATATTTACTAAATTCTGAAGTTAATCAGGACCTTTCTTTCTTCTTTCTCTTGATTCTAAAAGGAAACAGAGTATTTTAACTATAATCACCTCCCAAACCAACTTCTGTGCTTTTAATTTATATTTTAACTCTGGCTTTTTTTTTTTTTTAAAAAAAAACCCATGTGATGGTACAACTCTGTGTTTTATATTTATTGCTTAAGATTTACCCACATTTTTACTACCTTTTAATTTTTCATCTTGTTTTTCAGACCTTCTATCTGAATTACTTTCCGTCTGCCTGATTTATGTCTTTTAGTGTTGGACTGTATCTCTCTGTCTGTTGTCTATCTGTCTTTTGGTCTGAAAGTGTTTTTCTGTAATCATTCTTGAAACTCAGCCTTTTTTTCCTCTGGCCGATTTTTAAAAATTAACTTTATTGAAGTAAAACTTATATGCAATAAATTGTGCATATTTAGGTCCAACACATTTTGATAAATTTATACAACTATGTAACTACCAAGCCAGTCAATATATGGAATTATTTCCGTTACTCCAGAAAGTCTCCCTGGGCCCTTTTTAAATCAGTCTTCTCATCTCCTGCCCAATTAACTACTGATCTGCTGTCTGACACTCCAGGTTAATTTTGCCTTTTCTAGAACTTTTTATAACTGGAATCATATAGTATATACTCTTTTGTATAAGGCTTCTTTTGCTCAGCATATATTTTTGAGATCACTCACATTATTGCATAAGAGGTTCTTTTTTTATTGCTGAGTACTATCTCATTGTATGAATGTATCACAATTTCTTTATCCATTCATTCATTGATGAGTATTGGAATGTTTGCAGTTTGGTGTTACTGTGAATAAGATTGATACTAACATTAGTGTGCAGTGCTTTTTGTGGAAGTATTCCTTCATTTCTCTTGCGTAAATATGTACAAGTGAAATTGCTGGGTAGTATGTATGATCAGTGTATGTTTTCACTTCATAAGAAATTGTTTTTGGTGATTTTTAAGATAATTTCTTTAGCTTCAATGTTCTGCCATTTTCCACTAGTGTTGACCAGGTGTGGCTGTTCTGTTTTTAAAACTTGTGTGGGATTCAATGTCTTTTGGAATCTGTGAATTGTTTTTCCATAGGATCTGGAAAAACTCCTCAAACCTTCAGTATAAAAATCAAAATTCTTACAATAGCCTGCAAGTCCCTGCAGTATCTGGCTCTCTTTACCTGTTGGAATTAATTTTGCTCATTTTCTCCCAGTCACACTAACCTCCCTGCTGTTCACTGAACACACCAGGCGCTCTCCCACTCTGGGACCTGTGTGCTGCAGTCCTCTCTCTCTCTCCGCTTGTGTTTCATTTCAGTGAGGTTTCCCTTAATCAATGGCATTTACAGTTGCAACCCACCTCTCCTCCCCTGGCACTCCCAAATTCATGTTACCCCTTTCTCCTCCTTTTTCTGCTATGACACTTTACCTTTCTATTGTTCCATAAAATATCTTTACATCATGTTTATTATTTACCGTGTTGTCAGTCTTCTCCACTCCTTTCGTGGAAGAATGTAAGCTGCAAAAGAGATGAATTGTTTTGTGTTGTTTAACTGATGGTCTTAAGTACCTGAAATTGTGTTTGGCAAAAACCTTTGACACTTTAAATGCTGTAGAAAATAGACACTTGTAAATATTTGTTGAATTAATGAACTACAATTTTGTTACTATGTTTTCTTTAATAGGATTTTGGATGATTTTAATGTCTTTTAATGTTTCTAAAATTTCCCATGTTTCTGTTATATATAGGCATTTTTATAATAGAAAAAGTAAAATATGTGTAATGAATTTTGTCGTGGTTAAATAGTTTGTCTTCTATTAGCGAAATTAAAACATACCCTGTTTTATCCATCTTTAAAATTTTCAAATGTTAGGTTTCTGGAGCAGCACATAAAATGAATATGGTCTTAGTTTTGTTAACATGTTTTAATACATACAGATAAAAGACTAAACATATTTTTTATTTTCAAAGGACTATGACTTAATCTCCAAAGAACCAAAACCTTTAGTATTTGAGGGGAAAATACGTGGTCCTATTGTTGTTCCTACGGCAGGAGAGGAAACATCTGGGAATTCAGGCAATTTAAGAAAAGGAGTTGTAATGAAGGCGAATGTGTCTCCTAAAGGAGATGAAGATGGTAAGAAACGTACCTTTATGGATCTGGCAAAAGAAGATATTAAAGATAATGACAGAACATTACAACAGCAACTAGGTGATCAAAATAGAACTATTTCTTCAGTCCATGGCTTAAACAATGATATTGTGAAGGCCTTGGACCGAATTACATTGCAGAATATTCCTTCTCAAACAGCCCCGGGTTTTACTGCAGAAATGAAGAAGGACTACAGCCTCCCTCTTACTGTCGTTACATGCGCTAAAGCATGCCCACACATGACTACTTGTGGAAATGTTCTGTTTGAGGGAAGAACAGTTCAGCTAGGGAAGCTATGCTGTACTGGAGTTGAAACTGAGGATGACGAAGATACTGAGTCTACTTCGTCAGTGGAACAAGCATCAGTTGAAGTCTCTGATGGACCAACGCTGCATGACTCAGATCTCTACATTGAGATTGTGAAAAACACAAAGTCAGTCCCAGAATATTCAGAGGTGGCTTATCCTGATTATTTTGGTCACATTCCGCCTCCATTCAAAGAGCCTATTTTAGAAAGGCCTTATGGTGTGCAAAGGTGAGTTACAATTCCTTCTTCCCTCTAAGCAAGACCATTGTCAAAATACGAGGCATACTTTTAAAAAAGCTACTTTGGGTATTTATGAAGGAAATTACTCTAAATTAAAGTTACTGTCATTTTTTATTCTGCTTTGGGGATTTTACATTGTTTTGAAATTATTCTTATGGGTTTACTTGGTTTATTTCCTAAGCTTGTTGCTTATTCAAGTGGAACATAGTAGACCCCGATCATTGGACAATTTGGAAAATTTTTACTTAAATTGAATCTGCATATATAAAAACAGATTTATTAATCTTTGAATAAATATTACATTAGTAATATATATTAAATTAGTAATTTGATTATCTTTTGAACTTGATTTAGGTATATAATTTAAAAATAGCAATATAGACAGCATTATTTTGTTGTAAAATTTGAAGAAATATACAATATAAAAATTTTGGATTTATAAAAGCAGTAACTTTATAAATCTTGCCAATTAATTTTAGAAATTACAGATGATATTAACTATTGCCAGCTAGTGAATATTTGGCATATCAATACAGTTTTGATATGACTTGACTATTTTCAGTGATTATGGTTAAGGTTTTGTTATGATGGCTTACCAGTATATAAAAACATTTATATGCTCTTGTTATGATTGTAGTATTTAATGATAAAGGAAGACATTGCTGTGTATATTTGATTTCCCTTAGACTCTAAGCTTCTCTAAGGCAACAACTGTATCTTATTTTTTTATCTTTAACATGTGGTAAATTAATCACTTTTACTTGGCAACTTAGTATATGATTAATGATACCCCTTGGCTTCTTGATCTACAGGTGTAGAATCACATGTAGCATAGCATCAGGACAGGGGACTTACTTTGCTGAGAACGGTGTATGGAAATGGGCCTGTGCTTTAGCATCTACTGGTTGTATCACAGACAATTCAGAAGAAGTTGGCTTCTTGGAGTGTGGAATGGCCTTCAGAAGGCACAGGTGAAACTATAACTCAAAGGAAATACTCTACAAGGATAGATTGTCATCCTTCAGGATATAGTAAATGCACTAAATTAGAAACTTCCACATGTTTCCGTATCCCCAGTAGAAAGAATACATGGGGCTGGGAACCAGGAGGTAGGAACAGAAATAGTCCTACTTACTATAGCTTGCAGTGTCCCAGTGGGGAACTTTGTGCTTTCTGTCCCTGCACCCCTGAGCTCTACAAAGGTTAGTAGTCTTGTTCACCAAAGTTGGTGCAGTCTTTCCATGGGGGACATAGCAGGGGTATAATTTAACTACAAGCTGTCGTTGCCAACTGGTTGCTTTAGACTCTTGTGTCTAGCACTGGCAGACAGGAATAGGCTCTACGATCTTGATCTAGATCAGCTAAAGGAGGCAGGATTGCTTTTCGGCAACAGGTTGAATATGTGTGGAACTCAAATGATTTGCTGATTTTTAGTGTGAGTGGACATGTCACAGCTACCCTGGAATGATGTGATTGCCAGGGGCTTAGATCTCTTAGGAATGAGAATTCGGGCCATTTAATCTGATCAGCTGCCAAGGCCTAGCCAGGTGATAGCTGAAGGTGAGAGAGATTTAGAAAGATATTGGAGGGTAGAGATGAACTGCAGCCCTGAGAACCATCACAGTGATGGGGAAAAAGTTTTATCCTTCTCATGTTTTTCTTCTCAGTTTCTCCTCAGGAGAGGTGCACAGGAACTGTGGAGTTGCTGCTCTCCACATATGGGTGGAGAAGTGGATCTGTGCAACACAAGGGTGGACTGTAGCAGCCATGGCAATGAGCTGCTCCTCTCTCCCTCTTCATGAGAGAGTCTGCTGTGAGGCTTGCAGTTACTGGCAGCCTTCAGCTGCCATACCTTTGGGATCTCTTGCAGCATGCATGCTGAGGCCATACCCTCTATGCATTGCTTCCAGTCATTGATTGATCATGGTGGGGTTATGAGAGTTGAACCATTCTTGACCAGTGCACGGCTCTGCTAACAGGCAGTCTTTGCCATGGGGCGCCCTGTTGGCTTAGTTGAGACTTTTGCCGAGCTGCAATCTGTAGCTCTTTCTGCTCAGTACTCTCTCCTCTTCGAGGTGTCAAGTGTCTTTGGACAGACCTGAAGGCCCTCCTCACCTACTACGTTAACTACCCATGATCCTTCTTATTTCCTTTCATAGACTTTGTGTTATGAAAGCTTTTCTCAGTTGAGACTTTTATTTAGTATTTTACCCACTTGTGTTAATAAAAGACATATTCTTGCCAAGCAGAGCCTCTGATAAACATTTGATAACTTTTTCAGTTGATACCTTTATTGAAATTAATAAGTAAATAAACTTAATGTTTCAATTAAGTGTAGCTTTGTTGCAAAAAAAAGTATGACGGCCATGAATAGCTATAATACCTACTCTGTGGATTCTCAAAATGTGCTACAGGTGAGGAGCTATCACCCTCAGCTCTGGTGACCTCTGTTTTCTTTGAGCACTCCTCCGTCCCTCCCTCTCTTTCTTCCTCCCATCCTCTCTCCACCTAATTCTGATGTTGGGCTGTGTCCTTGCCTGGCTGAGTCTTTCAGAGAATATCATTCCACCATAGTCTCAAGCTCTCCTTACTCTCTTTCCAGGATTGGGCCTATCCTGACAGTGGAGGAGTTTATACAGACTGGGAATTACTGTGGCTCTTCTCCAAACCTCTCCTCGCTTTTAATATTTATGATGAATTCTTTTACCTTATCTCTGGAACGTGGACCTTGTAATCACTCTACAGATCTAATCTATGGATTAGAGCCGGACCTCTTGTGTATATTGGCCACATGTGGGAATTTTTCCTAAAGTAGTTTTTTACTGCCTCTGTACACAGTGTGATGTACCAGAGTTTGTCTTTTATTTAAACCAAAGCTTTAAGATATATTTTTTGATACAAACATCATGATAAGAGATCAAAAGGTCAGTGGGAGTTGGTATATGTGTTTTAAAGGTAGGTATGTTTGTATGCAAGTTAAGTGCAAAGGAGCTGAAGCTCAAGGAAATAAAAACACAGAAAACCCACAGGCAATGGTGATTCTAAGAGATTATAATGGAACTGAATTATTCCTATCATTTAGTGATATCGTAACAATAATAATGTAGCACAATGCATTATTCACATGTTTGTGGTGATACTGGTGTAAACAAACTGTTGCCAGTTGTGAATGAGAATAGCATTTACAATTACAGTAGTAGGCTATACCATCTAGGTTTGTGTGAGTGCACTTTGTGATGTTCGCACAATGATGAAACTGCCTAACGATGCATTTGTCAGAACGGATCCCCGTTGTTAAGCAACACATGACTGTAGAGGTCATATATCTGTGGTTATACCATATACTCTATAAAGAAGACTGTCTTCTGTGGATCCTCAGAGAATGCCTAGGTAATGAACAACATTCTCCATAGTGTCTTTATAGTAAATATAGCAGTGAAGTGTACTGGATTGTTTCTTTAGTGTTGCTCTGTGTTGGTTGAAAACTAACAAAGTACAGTGCTGCTGATGGGCAGATATAATGTGAACTTTCGAGTATTTATTAAACTAAATGGGTTGCACATTTTTCAGACTGCCCTGCACAAATTATTTTCTTCTGAGCCAAGCTTAAGTTTGAGGTTATAATCCCTGAAGGTACCTGGAAAATATATATCATTCTGCTTTGACTGGAGAACCATATATTTTAATAGGCAGCTGAGGTAAAGGAAGGATTGACATTTTTTTGGGAAAGTTGTGCTGCTTAATACAAATACATGTCCTAATAAAAGACCATTTTTCCTCTTTATTAATGAGGGTGGAGGGGAAGGCAGATATTTTCCTCAAATATTAATATTGGATTTAGTCTAGTATAAATGGGCAATTCTGCCCACTAGAATACAGTGTCCAAGGTTGAAAACCAGGGGCCTGTAAGCCATGTTCAACTTGTACGTGAATTTAAGCTTCACTTGCAGAGTGCTTTTTGTTTTTATTTTTTTTTAACCGATTGCCAACATTTAAAATTTGAGAGATTCTACATAGATATCCAAGTTTCTGGTGTTTCTTGAAAAATTGCTAAGACAGCCTTAACCTCTTTCCTACTTGGCAGCAGTCAGTTTCTTTTTAGACGAAATAATTTTCCACACTGCCACCCTGTCCACCTCACTCAGCTACTTTTTTACCCTATATTACATTATGGAACATTGCTGTAGAACTGAGCTGTTATATCAGCCTTTAATACCATTTTCCTTTTAAAACAACCAGACTTTTGTAAGTATTCATTTTTGTACATTTGTGGTATCAATCATATTTAATAGATTATTCCGACAAACGGATGTATTTAGTCATTTACCCATGCTTGAGCATTTTTTTGTATGGTATATCAGAGTATATGTAAGCAACATCTTTTTCGTTGTTGAAGGTCTGGGTGATATAAATTTTGGATTTGTTTATTGTTATGATTACTATCTTTTACAGTTTGTTTCTTTAGAAAGAATTTGGCATTCGAAAGTTGAGATTGAATCTAAATCAAAGATTTATAACATAATCATTTATACTAGGTTGTTTCCTTAATAAACTGCTTTGTCAGTGCTGAGTTATTTTTTGTAGAATAAAAATTAATAAATTATGCTTAATTGTATAACTACTAGATTAAGAATTTTAGAGTTGGATTTTCTTAATATTTTAGTATTCTTTTTTTCATGTGTTTAGCACAGTTTTTAATATTTTTCTGATAATGTTTAATTCATTGAGAGGGTTTTTGGCTTATTTTGAGTTTAAGTTTATATTATGATGTTGTTAGGTATATTTCTAAATTATAGGAGAATGAATACACTTTAATCACAGAGAAGTATCTTTGTATAAGAGGCTACTTTCACATCTGCCTGAAGTTAAGGAGACTTTCAGTGTTTAGGGTATTCTTGAGATTTTATTATAATTATTTTGCAAACTTTCTCACTCTGCTTTCTCAATAAATCAATATACCACAACTCTAATCTACATAACCAATTTTTAGCTAAAAGATAGAAACTTGAAATTTAAATCAGTTTAAATAATCAGCTTCCTCATTAAGAATGAATAAGTGATATAGTAGTCCCTCCTTATCCATGGTTTCACTTTCCTTGGTTTCAGTTACCTGTGGTCTACAGTGGTCCAAGATTCCATAAATAAACCAATCCTAAGTTTTAAATTGCACACTGTTCTGAGTAGGATGATGAAAGCTCATGCTATCCTGCTCTGTCCTGTCCAGGATGTGACATCTCTCTGTCCAGTGTATCCATGCTGTATATGCTCCCTGCCTATTAGTCACTTAGTAGACATCTCAGTTATCAGATTGACTGTCTTAATATCACAGTGCTGTGTTCAAGTAACCCTTATTTTACTTAATAATGGACTCAAAGCACAAGAATAGTGATGCTGGCAATTCACATATGCCAAAGAGAAGCTGTTAAATGCTTCCTTTAAGTGAAAAGGTGAGTTAACAGTACAGTAAGATGTATTGAGAGAGAGACCACATTCACATAACTTTTATTACAGTATATTGTTATAATTGTTCTGTTATTATGAGTTATTGTGGCTAATCTCTTACTGTGCCTAATTTATAAACTAAACTTTATCATAGATTTGCGTGTATAGGAAAAAAAACATAGCATATATAGGGTTTGGTACTATCCGTGATTTTAGGCATCCACTGAGGGTCTTGGAACTCATTCCTCTCGGGTAACTGCGTACTACTGTACTATGAGAAGTAGCTATGTATTAACGCCAGCGGCACCTTCCTGCAATGGCTTTTGTGACCAATCTACAAAAGTTCCAGGCACCTGGCTTTATGATCCAAATCTGTTCTGTGTTAGCTGCAGTTTGCTGTCATGTTTAGTGATTGTTGTCTTACTCTGCTCAAGTGTTGATGGGAAGATTGTGGAATCTGCTTGTGGCTCAGTCTTTTAGGACAGTGGGCAGGGATTTTAGGAGTTTTACAGTTAGTTGGTACCCATTCTGTTGGACCGTTTCAGAGAGAGATCAGCCCTTGAGAATCCTGGAGATGCAGGGACACCCTCTACTCCCTGACACAAGTGTTTCCCTCCCCTCCATATTTCCTCTTTAGCCATAGAGGAGAGAGTGGATTCTGCAGAATATGCAGGTGGGTTGCCAATTGCATTTTAACTAAATACCAGAGAGGGTGGGTTTAAAAAATCTCCTTATATAATCTCCTTATATAATCTCCAGCTTTTCAGATCTTCACTGCTTCTAACAGTGCTGCTATTATGAATACAAAATTATTTGCCTAGAAGCTAAAGAGTGGATCTACACCATTTTTGTGTAGAAGAGCATAATAGATATTCAAGATTTTTAAAGAAACTATTTGACTGGTAACTGTATTCTACATGGTTATTTTCTAAAACTCAGACATTGAAACTATTGATTTTTGTCTTATTATGATGTATTGATAATTTTCTTTGTATACAAACTATATAGAGGAATGATCATTTTTAGTTTAAGATAATTTTTTAATCATTTTATACTTTTCATCCAAAACTTATTTTGGAGAAATTTTTGCCTTGGCATATATTAATGAGTTTTGGTCAAAATTCTCTTTTATGATTTTAGGACAAAAATTGCCCAAGACATTGAAAGGCTAATACATCAAAGTGATATCATAGATCGAGTGGTATATGATTTAGATAACCCAAAGTAAGTATGTTTTTTTGTTTGTTTTTTGTTTTACTTTTATTAATTTTAATTTTACTGTAAAATTTCAGTGTTATTTTTAAAAGATAAAAATATCTTTTAACTTTCACCTAATTTACTATCACTGTGTTTTTATCTTTTAGCAGTGATGTAATGGTAATGTAATAGTAAATCATGTTTGGTTACTTAAATTGAATATATAACAAGCTTTTGTTTGTTTTTAGGTGGACTTTTAATGGATTTAATAAGATAAAGGTCACAAAGTGATGCTGTTCTTAAAAAGCTAAAATTGCCTCCACTTAAGAGAGTGGAGATTTCACATGAAATGCTGCAATTTTGTCCTGTAATATTGAGCCTTCATTTCCTTAGGACAGCAAGTTATCATCCCTTTCAGAAGGAACAGATGCTTGCTAATTCTCTACTGTCCCCACTACACTCTCTTGTCCCTTATTGCTTATAATCTGCTTTATTTCCTTAAATTACTTGCCTGACCTTTGAAGTCACTTGTTAGTGTCATTGACAATTTGTGTTTATCACTGATATCATCACATTTTAGGGTTTAAATAAAAGTAAATAAATGAAAATTACAAATGATGAATGTGACAATTATTTAGTCATTTGCATCCTCAAATGAGAAATTTAATTAACCTTCAGTGGATTCCCCGCCTCCCTTAACATTCTAATATTTTGGGGAAAATTTCACATTTTACTGGTCTTATTTAGAGGAAATCAAATACTTTTCAAAGATTTTTGCTAGAGAGATAAGGGTAAAAGCTATATCAAAGACAATGACTGAATTTGAAATAATATTTTAAAAATGAAAAACAAATCTACCTTATTCATATATCTTAGCTATTACAACTTTATAATTCTGTGTCAGATAGACCACAGAATTAGCAGATGTAGTAAAAACAAACTCAAGAATGTGGCATACCACTGCTGTTTCTGACTGAAATAACTGGAAAAATCAGTGAGCAATGCAGTCTTAGTTTTCCCCTATTAGAATATAAGCTCCAGAAGAGCGAGAATTTATATTCAATCAGGGAAACAGACAAAGAACTGAAACAGTATCTGGCAGTAGTAGGCACTCAAGTAAATATTTACTGACATAATGAATATGTAAAATGAGGATAATACTTTCACCTTTTGGGGTGCTAATTAAATAACATAATAGATGATATTGTGTAAATTTAAAATAATATTTTCACCTGAGAATCGCTTAGTTTGTTACGATTATTACTACTCAATACAGGTCACATGCATTTTAAAAAGTAAGTCTGGCTTTTTTAAATGACTATTAGTGCATATTTAGAAGAGACATATACTGAGGCAAAAATGCTTATTTATGATTAACATTCATTATAAATGGAACAAATATCCATTTGTAATAATAATTTTTTTGTCTATAAATATTAGCCAAAGTTTGTATTTTCCTTTTGTTTATATTCTTTGGTTTAAAAATAATGAGGGGGGCGAAGTGGCAATAGTCATGTATTTTTCATCTGCAGTGTGTTTTTTACTTGTTTATTTTTTGCTCACCTGTTTAAATGAATGTATTTTATTATACTTACTTTAAAATTTTTATTTAGTTACACCATTCCAGAAGAAGGAGATATTTTGAAGTTTAACTCCAAATTTGAATCTGGGAATCTGCGCAAAGTAATTCAAATTAGAAAGTAAGTCATTTAAAATTTTCTCATTTTCTGTGTATGCAGAAACTTTTCTAATTTTCATCAGATTTCTTTATTTTCTATTTTCAGAAATGAATACGATCTTATTCTGAACTCAGATATAAACAGTAATCATTATCATCAGTGGTTTTACTTTGAAGTCAGTGGAATGCGACCAAGTATTGCTTACAGGTTTAACATCATTAATTGTGAGAAGTCCAACAGTCAATTTAATTATGGTGAGACAACTTTCCTTCCCAATTTAGGGGGATGTACAGGCATCCTATCTGTAGGACAGAAATGTTTTGGAGAAAAATCACTAACTTTTAGAAAAAGTTTCAGTGTCCTTTTGTTTTTCCTGGTTCTCAAAATTCAAATGTCTATTATGCCCAATTTGAGATAAACTAAGCTATGCTTTGTTGGTAAAAAGAGTTACTCTTGTGTAGGCAAGCTCTTTAAAATGTATTAAGTATGGCTGATTTCATCCAAATTGAATACTATTAAATATTTATTATGTTTGCTGCTTAAAATCAGGTTATTAATATCAGTTCATCTAGAAGCGGATCACATAAAGCAGTTTTTTAAAACTTTTTGTTTTGAATAGATTCATAGAAAGTTAAAGCGTTATAGAAGTTGTGGAAGGGTTCGAAGTTCTCTTCACTAAGATTCCTCCAGTGATTACATCACACATAACCATAGTACAATACCAAAGCCAGGATTTGACATTGGTACAATGTGGATGCATAGTTCTCTGCCATTCTATTACATTTGTAGATTCTTGTAACTGTCATCACAATCAAAATACAGAATACTTCTATCACCACAAAGTCTGTGCTACTCCTTTCACCATTCACTATGATGTTAGCTATAATTGTCTGTAAAATTTTTAATCTAGTTGAGAATGCTTCCTTCTGTTACATGGTTTTATGAGGCTTTTTATTGTGAATGGGTGTTGAATTTTGTCATATTGCTTTTTTTGCATTAATTGATTTGATCATGCGATTTTTCTTCTTTAACCTATTATGTGGTATACTACATTGACTGATTTTTAAATATTGAGCTAGCCTTTTTTACCCATGTAATAAACCCCACTTGATCATTGTGTATACTTGCTAATATTTTGTTAAGAATTTTTGTATTTATGTTCAGAGGGATATTGAGCAATAATTTTTTTTTGTTTTTTGTACTGTATCTGGTTTTGGTATTCTGACCTCATAAATGGGGTTGGAAACAGTTCTCTCTTCTTTTTTCTGAAAGAGCTTGTGTAGATTTGGTTTTAATTCTTAACCATTTGGTGGAATTCTCCAATGAAATTATTTGAGCCTGGAGATTTCTCTTTTGGTAGTCTTTTAAATTAGAAATTCAATATCTTTAATAGTTTTAGGGCTATTCACATTATCTATTTCATCTTAGGTGAGTTGTAGTAGTTTGTGCTTTTTAGGAATTGGTCCATTTCTTCAAAATTGTCTAATGTGTGTAGAGTTGTTTAGAGTATTCCCTTACTATCTATTTGATGTCTTCAGGGTCTCTAGTGATATCCCCTATTTCATTCGCGATAATAGTAATTTGTGTCTTCTCTTTGTTTTTGTCAGTCCTGCTAGAGGTTTGTCACTTTTATTGACATTTTCAAAGAACAAGCTTTTTATTTTATTGGTTTTCTCTACTGTTTTCTTGTGAGACAATTTTAAAAACTGGTGTTGTACCAGCCAAAATATTAAATATATAGCCTTATTTAAGGCTTTATATTTAGTACTTTAATAAATTTAAAACTAAGTGTTATTCATCAGACATCAGTCTTTATAATCACGTGTATCAGTGGCAGATAATTGTATAAACTTCAGATCCATAATTTAAAATTGAAACATCAGTTTTCAAGTATTTAATCTGATAATTTTTATGTAAAAGGAAAAAAAAGTTTTCTATCATATAAAAAAACCCCACGTACATTGGGGGTTGATGAGAAACAAGTATACTGACAAGTATATACGACAAGTTGCAAGCTCTCAGAGGTCTCAATCATTTATTGTAAGCATTGAAGAGCTTTTAACAACTAAGGCATGAGATGCCATATTATCTGTTCCAAATGTTCTAAATTGTTAAAAGTATAAATATGATGTTCTTTAAGAGGACATTTCTAAAAATTGAAGCTTTCAAGAGTTGAAGAGGTTTTTCCTGATGTCATTATTTACATGGAAAATAGGAAATTGTATACTCTAGATAAATTGCTTCACATATATGGGATGAAAGCTTTAGTCAGATTTACTAACTGAATGCAGTAATTTTAAGAAGATTAAATATCATAATATCTGGTTTAGTTATGAACATTTTTTAAAGTTTTAAAAATATTTTAAGTAATCTAATTTTAAACAATCTGTTCTTTTAAATATGTATGTTTGACTAAGGATTCAGTGATTATATTGATTTGCATGAATAGTGATATGAGTATTCTTGATAATCTCTTTCAGATTCTTTATTTTTGTGATTTCAGATATAGCTATTACTCATTGAATGTCATATTTCTGTTGACCTTAAGCATCCATATAACTTATAAAATTACCTTAATTGAGTCATTAAATACCAAAACAAGTAAAAAATTTTGTGTTTTCCCTATTTAATGTGTAAGTATAATGCTAACATAATATTTTAGAGGAGAAAAGGATAAGTAAGTAAAAGTAATTGTATATGTATTTTGGGTGCTCCTCAAGAGTAAAATATAAAGGCATATTTCTTGCTGAAATGATAGTCGATATAATTTTCAAATTGTAGTACAAAGGTGGATGGTATTTTTACTAACTATATATTTTTACACTTTATATAATGCTCTTACTAGTTTAAACTTTATTAAATATTTCAAAATTTTTAAAGTAAAAGCATTTTGGAGCAGTGTTTCTCTATTTTTTTAAAAAATATCTATACCTCCATGTGATAAATAAGATAATCTCTTTCTTTAGTGTCAGTTTAAATTTAAAATGAATACAATTCTATAACTAAAAGTAAATCAAAGCAATGAGACAGATGGTTGCTTTATCTTTAAATTTCCCCTCCTCCTTACCCCTTACCCTTTGGATATCCTTATATATAGATAACACTTTCCAAACTCACGTTGTGGAGAATTTGGAAAACAGAATGGTATTAACAAGAAAATTAAAACCATCAACAAACAATGCATCACCCAGAGATAATCTCTTTAACATTTGTTATTTCCAGCCTTTTTATAATGTAATATGTGCTTTCTATATACATATAGTTATGTATTTAGTTTTACAAATAATGCTTGCAGTTTCATAATCTGTATTTTAACCAAACATTGTATTGGCGTTTTTTTTTTGGTCATTGAATATGCCTCTGAAACAGAGTTTAATGGATACTGAATGCCTCTGAAGCAGAGAACCCTATGGAAGTACTGTAACTCATTTATCCAAACCTTTCTTTGTTAGATTTAAGTTGTTTCTAGTTACAGTATTTTCTATTTTAAATAATACTGCGATAAACATTATACTAAATATATGTGTGTAATTACTTAGTTATAAATTCACAGAAGTAAAATTATTTTTGTCTGCCAGCTGTCAGTATTTTTTTTCTGATTATGAAACAGTGGATCTTTAATATAGGATACTTCGTAAATTCATCCAGTTTAAATGACTCTAGAAAGAAGAGAGAAGAGAAAAATCTACTATTTACTTTGACATAAATTCCTCCATGTAGAAATTCCAAAGAAAATGAACATATGTTGCTGAAGACTAGGGAAATTGAGTACTTAGAGAGCTGGTAGGACTGTTAAATTAGTTCAGCTTTTTTTTGAAGTACATTCGATAGTATGTTTTCAGTATTGATGTTTAACTTCATCCATCAGGATTTATTTGGCTATTTTTAGTGAATTGGGATCTAAGTAAATCCTGTTATTAGTAGTTAAACTCATTCTTTCTCCAGAGAGTTTTAAATGTTTTTGGTGAATTTACTGAGTTATTTGTCAAACATTTACATTTATAACTCATTTGCAACTCTGTTCCAGACCCACTAGTAAAAGAAGGGTGGGAAACATCTCTTGGAAGACATTGTACATCACTGTTCTCTGTTGTAGCTGTTATAGAAAATGGTCAAGTTAGTAAAAATATTAAATTAGATTAGAAACTGATTGAAAGGTACCACTGTTGCTTGCTCATAATTCCTGACTTTTTGAAATTGGGTTGAATTATTCTGACCTCGTAGTCATATGATATGTTCTCCTTGGTTTGAAATACCACAGTTCTCAGAAGTTATGGTCTTAACTATACACTAGCATTTATCTGGGGGCTCTTTGTTGGTCTAGTACCACTTGATTTTAATTATTATGACCTTTTAGTCTAGTGTAGCATCCTTATTACTCTGTCACTTTTTAAATTATTTTGACTTTACAATATAGTTTAACATCTTGTTGTCTTTTTCTACCAATTCGTTTTCCTGAATATTCTGAATAATTCAGAATAATTTTATCGAGTGCCAAAAAATTTCTGTTGCATTAAACTTATAGAATAATTTGGGGAAATTGAATTTATTACATTGTCTTACTGCTTAGAGACATGGTGAATAGTTTTGTTTATTCAAGTTTTTTATACCCTCACAAGTTTTTAGTTTTCTTCTTGTAAGTTCTATACATTTCTACCTTCATACTTAAGTATTTTATGTACTTTAATTTGTTTCTGTTGTGAAAGAGTACTCCTTCCTATTTTCGAACTTGTTATTATTTATAATTTAAGAAAGTTATCAGTTTTTATATGATTGCTTGAAAATCAGCCTCCCTCCTGAACTTTCTTATTAGTTTTCATAGTTTCGCAGTTGATACTTTGAGATTTTGTTGGTAGGTCCCTAGAATTTCTCGTTATGCATAGTTATATTGCGTATCTTTCATTGTGTCATTGCTTTTGGATAGAATTTTGAGAATGTTTAAAATAAAAAGGAGACATTGGGTATCCTTGTTTTATTTTGACTTTAATGCGATTGCTACTGGTGTTTACATTAAGTATGTTAGCTCTTATTTTGAGATACACATTCTTTCTCATAGTAAGGAATTTCTATTTTACTAAGTTTTAAAAATCACAATTTTATTTTTCGTGTTTATCTATTTAATGTGACCACATAATGCTATGCCCTCTTAATGAGCCATATTATGTTAGTACCGTTCCTAATATTAAATCGCCTTTGGGTTTCAGAAATCAGTCCACTTTGCCATGTGAATTCATCTTTTAATATACAACTATTTTTGATTTGTTAGCATTTTGTTTAAAGGTTTTATATCATTGGTTATAAGTGAGACAAGTCACTTTCCTTTTTGGAGAGCTATCTTTATCCACTCTTAGAAGCAAGTTGATGTTAACTTTGAACACTTCAATAAAAAGACTTTTATTTCCCCATTCTTT